ACAGTACTTGAGGACTGTGGCACCTTCTGGTTGAACTCGTACATAGATAGATATACCTTTTCAATGTTCAGATAATTCTCGATAACTCTTGCTATGTTAGAAAAAATCTTGTTTAACATTATCATCTTTAGCAACTTTCTTCATAAACAGCTGTGATTGTGCTAATGTTACAATTTTATGTGAATTCTGCCTAATTTGCCTTGGGAGGGTTTTCCTGATGATGTAACTGACAGTCAGGCTATATAAAGCTACAGGAGCCGCTTCGAGTCAAACTAGTAAATACTTGATCCTGTAGCACACAACTGTATTATGTAGTACTGTAGCTTGTAAGGTTTTACTGATGTAGTAGTATTAATTTTAATCAACCATAGTGGCCACACAAAATGTATCAAGGTCAATATATGGATTTAAGTAGAAATCACTCGCCAACTCATAGGCTGTTGCACTGATCCACCTGTGGTCAACAAACTGTCCCATCTTCGGAATCAGATGACACAGATGAACAATTTCATCAACATGAAAAGTGAAAGTAATTGCCTCCAGAGTCCAGATGAGATGTGCCCTCACAAAGTGCAAAAGTGAAAGTAATACCAGACGCACCTGTCATATACCTGATCCGACCGCTCCGATATCAATATCTGCTCTGCTTTCCGACCACCTCTGCTCCACCCATCATCTGCTCCGTCCAATCACCATCCACATCCACTCCTACGCTTCCGCTCAACCGCCCAACCGGTCACCTTCTATAATGTCTCCATTCAACTGGAACCTCTTTCCCCTTTTAGACATATACTTTCCCCTTCGGTACATAGACCCTTACTTCCGGATCACCGGTAACTCTTCTTACCGCTCGATCACTGATCCGACATGTACATATTGATATCCACTCCGACTTATGTCTTCGCCTGTGTAAGTACTTACAAATTATATCCTTGGTACATAGCTTTACAACATAGTTCTCCTAATCACTGCCTCACACTTAGAAGTATATAACATATCCTGTACTTAGATATTTTCCTCAGTCTTAATATTACTTGTCTTCTTGCAGTTTCTACTTGTGAGAATTCTCAGTAGGACCTTGCCTCCTCCAGACACAAGTTTCATCTTGTTGTCACCTCTGACTTTCTGCTCCAACTTAGAGCCATGCTCTAAGTCTTCCCCCTTACCTCTCCACCTCTATCAATAATCCCCCTTTGCTCCTATCCACCCTCCACACTATCCTCCGCCTTCCCTGCTCCACTCCTAGTTGGCCCTGCCGCTAGTAGCACTTACCTCCCTGACCCTCAAAGCAGACCAAAGCAGTCTACTTGTCCTACCGTCGGACAACATTGGACCTACTCCAAATTTGGGGCACATACTTGGCTAAGGGTGCAGTGCATGAGCTGAAGCCAAGCCCCAACCCCTCTGCTTCTTGAGTCCCGGCACAGGTACCTAACAGCACCCTCACAAAGTGCAAGAGTGAAAGTAATATCACTGATTAGTCATCAGTAAACCGGTGAGTGTTAAGACCGTGCTCAGGGGTAAAGCGGAGTCTAAGGGGCTTGGCTTCAGCTCATATGCTGCACCCCTTACCCAAGTACATGCCCCTAATTTTGGAATGTAGTCCAACACGAGTTCTATGGGTTCCGACAGGACATCGGAACAGGGGTCCTCTGAAGGAGGACCGATGGACTACTAGGTGAGCGCGGGAAAGTTGGGCAGGGGTTGTTCTGCCCGACAGGAGGGAAGTGGGAGACTACTGCGGTCAGAACCAACAGTAGAAGCGGAGCGGAAGGAACTGCTTGGACAAAGTCCAAAGCAGAGCAGAACGGAGGGGACAGATGCAAGAGTGCGGGGTCTAGTTCTGACGCACAGGAAGTTGGAGGAGTGGAGGAATGGGGGAATGGGGGAACGGGGGAACAGGGGAATGGAGGAGCGGAGGATTGGAGGATGGCCAACCTAGGGAGTCAATCCCCTAGGCCGGCTTTTAACAGGAGTTGACTAGGATCAGGCCTAAGTCAGAGAACAGAAGAGCAGGGCTTAGAAAAGGTAATATTCAGACTGAGTATCTACAGACAAATGTACATATGTTTATATACTCTAAGTGATGAGCATAGCATAGCAGAAGGCTATGTGCTGAGTGTACAGGATTACAATAGGATGACTGAGACATATGAGAATAAGGCTCAGGGAACAGTATGTACGTGACGGATCAGAATCGCTAGGGTATAGGGATTACCAGTGATCCGAAAAGTGGAACTATGATACTAAATGGGGATAGGACCAGTTGAGTGGTTCCTGGTCTAGGAGTGGACCAGTGAGGCGGTCAGACAGACTAATAGTTAGGTGGGGGAATATGAGCGGAACTGAAGGATCCGTGCGGGTTGGAAAAGTGGAGGGAGTAGGAATAGGATCAGGCGGACCGATAGGGCGGAGGAGCGGAACCCCAGATAGGGTCGGATGGAAGGGGTATGGGGTTGGAGGACATAGGGGTAGTGTCGGAAGAGCGGAACAGGGTTGGGCAGAGGTAGCAGGGCTAATCCTGCTGAGATGCACTTTGTGCATTGTCGGGGAAGGAGGAATGGAGCGGATGGGGAAAAAGGGGGTCTGACCAGGGGTGGGGATGTTTACAGGTGGTATTGGAGGTGCTCGGATCCGGTATATGACAGTGAGCCACCAATATTCCCATATTTTGTACACCAAAATGCTCTTTCCTATACATGACATTATAAAACAATATAAAGTAATATAAAATAATGTAAAGCAATATATAAGTCTGAACTGAGCATGGACTGGCATGATTACATTGCTTTAGATTGCTATATATTACTTTGTATCATAATATACAGGAAAGAAGCATTGGGCTTACAAAATACTGCAAAATCTACTAATATCTGAGTCTCACCAGTTTACTGATGTAGGTGCACTTTATTTTTCAGGTCCCAGTGCTCTTTATTTTTCAGGTCCTGGTGCTCTTTATTTTTCAGGTCCTGTTGTTCTTTATTTTTCAGGTCCTGTCCCTGACACTACAGATAATGGCACAACACTAGTCTGGAAATGCCATGGGCAGCGAGAAGTATCCCCAGCAGTTGCACCTGCTTTGCCTCTTCACAACACTTCACTTCTGCATCCCAGCGGTCAGTGACAAGTCTTGCATGGCTGGGCATGCCACTGGCAGGCACTATTTCTAACAGTTGCAATTGTTTTGCTTTCTCACAGGCCTTCAGTTCTGCCTCCCAATGCTCCAAGACAAGTCTTCGCAAGTATGTCTAAGAAACAGAGATAGGGCCAGGCATTTGACAAAATGGAGGGAGCAGGAACATGGTGTTAAGGTCGTGCTCAAGGGAGAGGTTGCTCAAAGGGCTTTGGCTTCAGCTCGTGCGCTGCGCCCCTTACCCGAGTATGTGCCCTTAATTTCCAGGGGACAGAGGGGAAGTCTGATGGAAGTCCGGGGAGTTCCGGAGGACTTAGTGTCAGTGGAGTTCGGCGGAACTCCGGAAGGTTTATGCGGGGATGAAGTAAGGCTACTATGGAAGTCCGGAGTAGAAACTGAACAGAGGTTAGACTACCCTAAGGTAGAGCCGGAGAAGTAGTCCTAAGGTTTAACCCCTAAGACTCAGAGGTGGACAAGAGATGAGACTCAAGTCCGGAGATTGCAGGAATGAGCAGAACTAAGATGATATTCAAACTGAGGAGTTCCGGAGTATTACAGGGGTTTATATACTGTAGGTATCATGTAAGTAAATCAGTCAGCAAAGGTAAGGGCTATGTATGAAGCATGTGGAAAGTCTATTACTAAGTATAATGGATCAAAGCAGTGAAGTCGGAAATGAAGTAAGAATGGACGGATCAGTAAGCATAGTGGAATAGGACATAACCGGTAACCGGAGCAATAGCTAATCTAAAAGGAGTTAAAGGTGAGTGCGGAGATGAAGGCAGAGTGCCAGGCGGAATAGTAAGATGGAGGACCGGACTTCAATGAAGTAGATTCGGAATTCCAGATCCAGAGGCACAGGATATGACACATGGGCTCTGCATTGGGCACTTCATGTTTTGGTATGCTGGGCTCTCCACCAGGCACTTCAAGCTTTGGCCTGCAAGCTAGTGAGTATTTTGGGGTGATGAGGAGGGGTAACTTAATTCACCTTTTGACACCAATTTCCCCATCTTTACAGGTAGCTTTAGTGGATGGTGACATTGGGCTGTAATATTTGTCAGAGGATGGTGAGTATTTGACTTGAGCTCTGTACTGTTTTCTGGTTGGAAGTATCCAAATTAACACCCCCAGTGGTCAAAATGGTAAGCCCTCCATTCTTAGTACATGGCTGGTCTGATTTATATTATATATTATGAAGCTCATGCTGTGCATGTCACATGTACATGATGAACTCAAAATGAAGATGCAATCACTCACTAGTTCGTTTTTTGGGTTCTGGTCAAGTCATTTGAAGGAGGTGGTAAGGCAAAACCAAGATCTGGCAGAATCTTTGAAAGACTGGTTCAGCATTTGCCTTCAAGGTATGTAGTGCACAATGGCCTACATGACCCTTTGAGTCCTGACTGTCGGATAATAGGACTACACATTGAAGACAGGGATCTACAAATCTGAATTACTGCAAGACAGTATCAACATTATAGTAATTTGCAAACCAAAATGACAAGGGTGCCTGTCTACTACAAGTATTTCAACCCCATACCTAGTTGAGGTTGTTGCACTCATGCTTATAGCTGTGAATTATGTCTCATATTCTTATGTTAAAGTCAACAGCACTGAAAATTGATAGATTGAATGTTGTATTGACGAGTGGCTTGCAAGGCCTGAAGGAAGACATCAAATTCACTTCGGCTACTTATGCATCTATTTACCAAGGTCATTTTGGCTCATTGCAGGCACTTCCATGAACATATGGCACCTTACAAACTCCTTGAAAGACTTTGCAACAGTTTGCATGACAGGGCTCAGTATGTCACACTGTATTTTCACAAGTGCCAACCTAACATTTGTGGTTTTAAGTTTGCATGCAGGTGTTGAAGCACTCACTATGCTGTTGGCTGCATCCTGGATTGGTGACAAGGCATTTCATGATGTGATTTGAGAGTACCAGCTTGAGGAGTAGGATGATGCAGAGGCTACGGAGAGTTGAGGCTCATAGATGTGAAAGAGGATGCAGAGGATCACGCAAAAATCTATCAGTAGCTCTGTGTTATTCATCTGAATTCATTTGTTTCTGTGCTATTTTGTGTGCTACTCTATTCCTCTATATAGCTGCTAGGAGCTGCTGGTAGTTCCCTGTACTAGGTGGTCCTACTGAACTACAAGGCTACTTACATTAGTGCCTTGTAGCGCTACCTGATTCTACATAGCACTATGGAGCATGACATAGTTACCTCACTTTCTATATACAGGCACTAGTGTCCACTCCTTATTTTAACAAACTTATGACCTTTGGTCAGGGACCCTAAGTGTACATTTCATGACCTTTGTGAAATATTTCATACTTGTTATAAATTTTGAAAACATTGACAAGTCAGAAAACATTTAAAATATCATACCAGGGTACATTTTTGAAACTCAGCCTGGGTGTCAGAAAGCTGTTAGATAGAATGTTTTCAAAATGCATGGCACATTTTCAAAACATTAATATTGCAAGCAGGAGCATTAGAATAGTGGTAGGTAATGATGAGGAACAAACGAGGGATAGGTAGGTAGGCACAATGGTAGAAGCATGGTGAATAGAATTATTTATGGGGGCTAAATAAACACATCAGTGAATAATGATTGACAAAAAAAATATCAACATACTGCTTGCAGAGGGTAGAGGAACCTTGATCATTGTGAGTATTATGCACATGCTTCATGCTGGGGGTGCCAACAGTCACCATTTGACTCAACACCCAAGCCACATCACCCATAGCCTTTGTGAAAGAAATACAATCAGCATCATTAACAATAGCCTCACACCAGCATGCAAGGCTGAGAAGGACTATGAAAAACTCATTCTTCCCTCCACGGCAAAGACACAACCAATCCCCCACAGGATGTGCGTCCTCTTGGATGAGTACCTCCTTGTTGTGCCAATCTGATTGGCAGGAGGTCCACCACATGAACCACTGCTGAGCATAGCCAGGAATGTCAGTAACCGGCACCAAGGGGCATTTAATGGGGCGACTGTTCTTTATCCATGCTCCAACCTCGTGGGGTCATTTTTTGGATGGAAGGAAGGTTGAATGAAACCTAGATAGATAAATTATTTATCATTAGTATATCAATTTAAGCCCAATATAACATACAACATACTGAACTGTCAGAAAAACCAAGACTCTCTTCCAACTTGATCCACATCGCCACAATATTCTTCCAAGGATCTTCAAACTCTAAGACCTCCAAAAAATTCAAACCAAGTCTTGATCCACTGGACCAGAATCAGAATGTGAGTGGACAGTGAAACCTCTGTCTCATTTGGCGACATAATGTCAACATCCATCGAGTCTTCAAGCATTTCTGAATCCTTTGTTGCTGGTGGAGTTGGTGAGGGAGCAGGTGCTGTTGTTGTTGCAGGAGATGACAAGGTAGTCGGCGATGTAGCAGGTACCATTGTTGCAGTAGTTGTAGTAGAGGGTGTTACTGCAAGTACTAGGTGTTGCTACAGTAGCAAGTGTTGGAGTGATACTGAACTTAGTCACAGTGGACATTGTTGACATAGTGGTGGTGATAGCACCAGGTGTACAAGCTGTGACAGGCTGGGCTACAGGTTTGGTTGTGGTAGGCTGGGCTACAGGTTTGGTTGCAGTAGGCTGAATCGTGGTATCGGTTGGTGTGCCACTTACTGCAGGCTGCAGGGCCACAGACTGAGTAGCTGCAGCAACCCTTGGCATGAGGCTACACGACAGGGCTGTGGACTGAGTAGCTGCAGCAACCACTGGTGTGAGGCCACATGAGGAGGTCAACAGTGATAAAATAGGTTGCAGCACTCGAGCTTCACATATCTCAGGCGCTGGGGAGATGAACAGAATACAATTGATATTGTTGCAACATTGAGGGCTCATGACTCACGAAAGACATCTTGAATGAAGTTGTTAAAGTCACCAATCCAACCTTCCAAATCGGGTAGCACTTCAGTCGAACTCTAACTCATCACCCACTGTCTTACCATGATGCACACTGAAGGTATTGCTGATCAGCACCGAACAAACACCAAGACATATAATACATACAACCAAGTTGTGATCTGGCCACCCAGCCATGGCTGAGGACCCCTGATGAGGATTGCAACCATGCAACCAGTCTTCGCATATATCTGGTTAGCAGCCACATCAAGTGTCTTGGGCAAGGAGTCCATTGCACTGTGAGTTCATGAATACATTTTTGTTGTGTGGATAGTGTTTGATCTTACCTTTGGATACCATAGAGGTATTCACTGTCTTGCTCTCCATTGGCAGCTTCATCCTCATTGACTTGCTGACTGTTTTCAGATCTGCTCGACCTCTGCTTTGACCTCTGGTGTTGCCTCTCGAAGAAGCTCATTGAAACAATCCTTCTACCACTCAAGGAACTTTATTGGACTATCCTTCTTCGATGGTTGGAACAAAAGCTTGCACGTAAGCGCCATATTCCTTTCTCTGTCTTCATCTTGAATTTACCTTTGTAATATAGGTGAAAGTATGCTTGCCATGGCAGGAGTTGGCCCTTGCATTTGCCAGCGAGGTCAAGAAGTTTTCGTGACCCTGTACCACTTGTTGTGCCACACAAAAGATTAAAATACCAGTGGTAGATCTGCTGCATGGGGAATCAAGGACTGGAAGTGTGCATACAAACTTGCTTACCTTCTCCTTCTTCTTTCTGTCATTCGAACTGACATGTCCTCGTGCCTACTATGGGCGTCCACCAGCTTGGCTTCAGGTACAAGGAGTAAGCGGATAGGTGGCAAACCACTCTCTGTAAATGTCCTTCCAGAAAATCCTGGCATGCCTTTGTGTCTGTAGCAGCAAGGAACAAGGAAAGTCTTGACTCTAACCAAACAACTTGTTCCTTTGTTGCCCAAGCTGGTTGATCCATGACAGACAACAGAATTTTAAAATTGGGAGGATGTTTTGAAAATTGGCTCTTTTTTAAACCGTCTGAAGTTATATAGTAAGCCTGTTTGTATTTAATATATGCAAGGGTCTGACATGATGTGATATGTGATAATGTGACTTTGGGCAGGTACACTTTACCTACAAAAAAACACTGTTCATAGATGTTGCTGCTGTCTATCCCTGTTGAACCTCTCATTATAATCTGATGACAAGTGAGTTTTTAAAATTTTATGTTTCCACTTCCCACTCATCACTTCCAATTGTGACCCCACTCCAGGATTTTGTGTCTCCAGAGAGATTCTTCTGAAAGAACTTCCAGGACATCAATTGTACTCCTCCATCATGCTCATATCTTCATCGCCGCCACCCATTGTAAGCAACCTGCTGTCTGTGCCACCATATCAGTGCAGGAGGGCTCCAGCAGTGAACTGGAGCTCTCATCAAGCACACCAGCCTGCTATGGTGGTGCCTTACATCCCTGTTCATCCACCACCTGTTGAATCACCTGCACCACATCGAGAAAGGACAAGTTCTTTCAAACCTCCACCACACCAAGAATAGATGGTGTCCTTTGAAGACAAAAACCCGACATATACAGTATGTAATTTGGTAACACATTGTGTATATAGACTTAAGGATAACTTCCAGCATTGCCCTCATCCTAGTCATATAATTTGTGTTCAAAATGTACCACCTCCAGCAGTGCCAATGGTACAATTGTCATATGGAAATTCCCCCTCTTCAGCTCCCTCTTCAACGTCCTCCTTAACTCTCACACCATTTTCAACCCCCTCATCTGAGTTGTCACTAGCCCCAACTGCAACCAGTAGCACACTTGTACTGTCTCCTGCATCTGAGATGCCTCCAACAGCCAGGAGTAACCAACAGAAATTGGGCGCACTTGATTTTCTTGATTCTGCTTCCATCACAAGTACAGAATATCTCAATGCTCAAAAATTCTACTCTGTTCGTGTTGGTTGCAAGATAGGTGTCTTCAGCTCCTGGTATGTGTTTTTCCGTGCTTTGAACTTTAGATAACCTATTTTTCAGGTGGGAGACCTACAGACAAGTGTGTCATTACCCTGCTGCAGAATACAAGGGTTTCCATAGTAAAAGGGATGCAGTTTATGACTTTGTGAGTTACTGTACACGGATTCAATGGGATGCGTAATAGGGTTCTTTTGTATATACTATGAAAGAGAAACCGAAAAGTTACTACAATCATATTTAGAGTTATTTCATGTATCTAGAACTTTAGAACAGTGTTTTTGAGTTGTATATACCAGCAATTTGAAATCATGATGTTTGCAGCCCATAGGACTATGATACAATGGTTTTGCTTAGAATCATGTTTTTGATTAAGTTACAAGTAGTATGGGCATTATTATATGCAAGTTCTCAAGACATTACTTAGATTTGACGGGGAAAGACCAGATACAAGGCAAACAGCTGCACACATGCACTATGACTGTGAGTTTATTATGTTCTAGTACTGCTAAATATTGGATACCAATGTTAAATGACATGCATACACTGGCAGGCTTCACAGAAACATGCATATGTATTTGACAAAGCATAGCCACCACATGTATGCTTTAATCTTTGGCTATCTGAAGTAGCTTTTCCTTCTACTAATCCTGCAATGTCAAAATGTGCAGCTAGCAGCTCTACTGCAGGCTCTTGCAAGAAACCTCATGTTTTCATAGTTGACAAGAATGGACTGTCATGCATGACCATGAGTCAATGTCCTTCACAGTTATACCATTACACACACCATAACCAGGTGTCCTGGCCAACGACAAGTTTGTAACATATCAAAACCTGCAGAAGCCATTTCACATCATCCACCGCAGCCTCCACCACCTCTGATCATGGATGATCCAGTGACCAATCAGCATGAGGGATATTCTTGCCCATGGAGTCAGAAGGATAAGCCTTCAAGCTTCAGGACCGGTAAGTTTTTTGATGTTCCTCTAGTGATTTTGCTGACTTAAATTAGTCACAACTAGAAGCATGGCTTCAACTTTGCCTCTACTGTTCTCGATGAACTAATTCGTTGTGATGGATTTTGGGAGGACCTATCAGGGATATGTGCATGCAGGTCACCTGACCAATATTGTTGTTGCAACTGCTTCAATGGTACCTTGACATGCAAGGAATGTATCATTTCGGTTCATCTAATGCTTCCCCTTCACCGCATTGAGGTAAGCACCTTTAGTGCTGTTGATAGGCAACTGATATTGATCCTTCATACACTTAGGTTTGGCAAGATACTTATTTCCAATGGACCTCTCTATGCTTGCTGGGGTCATCTGTTCAGCTTGGCCATTGTGGCCATTGTTGTCCAATGCCCATCCCAGCCTCATATCAGTTTACGGTCCTGGATGTTAGTGGGGTACATGTGGTCTTGCTGTTTTTTTTTGTGGCTGCTACAATGCACAATCTCGTTATGTCCAGTTGCTCCATGCGGGTTGGTATCCAATGACCATTGACCAACCTTGCGCAGCGGCCACATTTACAGTGCTGGAATTTTTTCATGAGTTGATCCTGCAAGGGAAGCTCAACATCTTTGACTTCTACAATACCCTTCTCCGCATCTCAGATGGCCCTGGAGTTACAGACTTCATGGTATGTGTCATTCATCAATATTAAGTCATTGGCTGACTGTAGCTCTACTAGAATCACTATAACGACCTTTCACGCATTATGCGTCAATGGCAGCATGTCATGTCCCTCAAGCGAGCTGGTCATGGACATGATCCAGCAGGAATAGAAGCCACCAGTGCAGGATCATTGGTCATAGAATGTGCTGCTTGCCCTCATCCAGGACGCAACTTGCCTGATGGTTGGGAAACTACTACTCGAAATTCTATGTTAGTGTGTATTGTTCTCTGTCATGGTGATTGTAACTTGCTCATACTTTACTAGGTACCTTTACACATTATATCTGTCAATGGACACAAACTTTCAGCTTCCTCTGAAGAACCACCACTTAAGAGATATTGAACTTGCCCCAGGGTGGTCATTTTTTGTGGAGGAGTCTGCATTTCAAGCAGTAATAGCTGAGTCTGGGGAGCGCAACAAGGGGAGCACATGTCAAGTCAAGCATGACCCCATTGTTCGTGCCAATGTCCATAACAAAGATGGGTAGAGGAACTTCTTGTTATCAAGGAGATGCATTGAGTGTTGGCGTTTTTTGAGTGGAAGGCTGCATGGTGGTTATCACAGGCCAATCTTCACACCAATATCACCCCAGCTCTTCACCATGGACTGTCTGCCAATGCACACAAGCAGGCCTCCATTCTCACTCAGTGTTAGGTACCATGCCGGCTCAAGAGGCAGAGGGGTCAGGGCTTGGCTTCAGCTCTTGCACTGCGCCCTTAGCCGAGTACGTGCCCCGAATTTGGAGTGGATCCGACGTTGTCCGACAATAGGACAAGTGGACCGCTTAGGTCCATTTTGAGGGTCGGGAAGTAAGAGCTGCTAGCGGCGGGCCGACTAGGAGCGGAGCGGAGAAGGCGGGGAACAATGTGGAGGGTGGGTAGAAACCAGGGGGATATTTGATAGGAGCGGAGATGGCGGAGGATAATGTAGAGGATAGGAAAAGGGGTGATAGGAGGATATTGATAGGGGCGGGGTAATAAGGGAAAGACTTAGAGCACGGCTCTAAGTCGGAGCGGAGGGTCGGAGGGTCGGAGGTGACAACAAGTTGAGACTTGTGTTCAGAGGAGGCAAGGTCCTACTGAGAATTCCCACAAGAGGTAACTGCAAGAAGACAAGTAATATTAAGACTAAGGGAAAATATCTAAGTACATGATATGCTATATACTTCTATGTATGAGGCAGTGACCAGGATAACTATGTAGTAAGGCTATGTACCAAGGATATCATTTGTAAGTACTTTACATAGGAAAGACATAGGTCGGGGCGGATATCAATATGTACGCGTTGGATCAGTGATTGAGTGGTAATAGGAATTACCAGTGATCCGGAAGTAAGGGTCTAAGTACCGAAAGGGAAAGCATATATCTAAAAGGGGAAAGAGGTCCAGTTGAATGGAGATGTTATGGAAGGGGACCGGTTGAGCGGTTGAGCGGAAGCGTAGGGCGGAATGCGGGTTTGTGATAGGACGGAGTGGAGAGGGTCGGAAAGCGGAGCGGATATCAGTATTGGAGCGGTCGGATCAGGTATATGACACAGTCTCTACTAGTGGGAATTCTCTGTAGGACGAGTGGTGTTCATTCCTTTTTTCACAATATATGACCTTTGGTCAGGGACCCTAAGTGTACATTTCACGACCTTTGTGAAATATTTCATACTTGAAAACATTGACAAGTCAGAAAACACTTAAAATATCTTACCAGGGCGCATTTTTGAAACTCAGCCTGGGTGTCAAAAACCTGTTAGATAGAATGTTTTCAAAACTTGGCCAGGGTGTCAGAAAACTGTCAGACTCAACCTGGCCACATTTTCAAAAAGACCCAGACACATTTCAAAACAACTGACACATTTTCAAAACTTGAACTGACTACCAGACATGGTAGAATACACCAGCAAATGAATAACATCAACCTAACACTATGTTAGCTTACCAGAAGAACAACACAATGAAAATGAACGAACCTTCAATCATATCAGGGTCCACATCCTCAATGACATCATTGTCAGAAAGAGCATTGATGTGGTCGTATACTTTGTCACATAGGGCCATAGCACTGCTGATGGATAATGAGACATATTTTGACTGCCACACTGGCTTGACACCACGACCCTTCAGGACAGGCAACCATAGATGGGCGAATTTTGTAGCTAGCTGAGTGTCATATACCTGATCCGACCGCTCCAATACTGATATCCGCTCCGCTTTCCGACCCTCTCCACTCCGTCCTATCACAAACCCGCATTCCGCCCTACGCTTCCGCTCAACCGCTCAACCGGTCCCCTTCCATAACATCTCCATTCAACTGGACCTCTTTCCCCTTTTAGATATATGCTTTCCCTTTCGGTACTTAGACCCTTACTTCCGGATCACTGGTAATTCCTATTACCACTCAATCACTGATCCAACGCGTACATATTGATATCCGCCCCGACCTATGTCTTTCCTATGTAAAGTACTTACAAATGATATCCTTGGTACATAGCCTTACTACATAGTTATCCTGGTCACTGCCTCATACATAGAAGTATATAGCATATCATGTACTTAGATATTTTCCCTTAGTCTTAATATTACTTGTCTTCTTGCAGTTACCTCTTGTGGGAATTCTCAGTAGGACCTTGCCTCCTCTGAACACAAGTCTCAACTTGTTGTCACCTCCGACCCTCCGACCCTCCGCTCCGACTTAGAGCCGTGCTCTAAGTCTTTCCCTTATTACCCCGCCCCTATCAATATCCTCCTATCACCCCTTTTCCTATCCTCTACATTATCCTCCGCCATCTCCGCTCCTATCAAATATCCCCCTGGTTTCTACCCACCCTCCACATTGTTCCCCGCCTTCTCCGCTCCGCTCCTAGTCGGCCCGCCGCTAGCAGCTCTTACTTCCCGACCCTCAAAATGGACCTAAGCGGTCCACTTGTCCTATTGTCGGACAACGTTGGATCCGCTCCAAATTCAGGGCATGTACTCGGCTAAGGGCGCAGCGCAAGAGCTGAAGCCAAGCCCCAACCCCTCTGCCTCTTGAGCCGGCACGGTACCTAACAGACTGCAGGAAGACAAGTAATACTAAGACTGGGGAGTAGCTAAGTACATGGTATGTTTTTAATATACTTCTATGCAGGGGGCAGTGACTAGTAGTCCTTGGTATGAGGCTATGTACTGAGCATAATTTGTAAGTAGACACAGGTGAAAAAACATAAGTCAGGGCGGATATCAATATGTATGCATTGGATCAGTTAGTCAAGCGGTTATAGAAAGTACTAGTGATCCAGGAAGTAAGTGTTATGTGCAAATGGGGAAAGTATATACCTAAATGGGGAAAGAGGTTACAGTGAAGTGGAGACAATGCGGAAAGTAACTGATGAGGTGGTTGTTGGACTCCAAATGATCCGAATGATAACTTGCACTGTCTGAAGGATCCTGAGATGTCAGTGCGAAGCGCAACTAAAAGGAGTGATGGACGAACGACACTTTGACAGTCAGTTCGTACCACTTAAATATTCCATCTCTCGATCAGTTTTATTTTGGTTTCCATCATACGTACTATAAAGTTACGAGCTGGTCCATACGAGCATCTCAGTTCTGACTACAGACTGAGATGTGAGTACCCGTTATTTTACAGATGCGATACAATGAGTTAACGAGTCACTAGTATTGTTCTAACTAGGTACATGACTTGTAATAAAGAGTTCTGACTACAGACTGAGATTATTGTTCTAACTAGCATCCCTCCTGTCCACTTGTACCTGTAATTCACTACAGGTTATGAGCCCTGCCATGGCCACAGATATCTCACTCCCCGGTACCACCTCATCCCTATTCAACATCCCCAAACTTGCTGAAGATGGCTCAAATTGGATTACCTATAAGGAGCGAACATTGACTGGCAATCAGTGCTCAAGGTTTGATGTGTTATGTCGATGGTCGCGCAGATAAACCTAAGGCCTTCACCACTAACCCTACAACAGGTCTAGTACAGAATCCCAATGGTATGAGCCCCACACAGACAGACTTGGACAACCTAGACAAAAGGATTGATGAGTTCTATCAGAAGGATTCACTGGTCAAGCAGCAAATTTTTAGCACCATCACAGATCGACTGCTGCTTTGTGTCCAGAAGCTCGAGACTGGCCTCACTGATCTGGGCAGAGATCTGTCAGATTCACGAAGGCAAACATGGAGCTTGTGCAGATTGACTTACATCATTGTCTGCAGGAGACGAGACAAGGTGTGCATGAAGCTGGGGATGTCAAGGCCCACTTCACTGAACTCTTGAGGCTGAGAGAGTCACTCGCTGGCATGGGCGTGGCACTCAATGATCGAGATTTTCACGCTATTGTTCAAGGCTCCCTTCCTGAGTCATATTCACCCCCTCCTTTCATCAGTAAACTGCCAGCTGCTAAGATAATGAAGAAGCCTCTCACCCCCAATGAACTCATCAGTGTCGTTACAGAGGAGTATGAGCATCGCCAGCTCACAGACCATCACCCGACGAAAAAGGGAGGAAATGCTGCACTGGCGGCCAAGGGCAGGCAGCCTGTGAAGTCACGCATCTCAGGCGCAGCGAGTGGTGCGAATGCAGATGTTATGTGCTTCAACTGTGACCGCAAAGGCCACTATAAGGTGGACTGCTGGAGACCAGGTGGTGGAAAGGAAGGTCAGGGTCTGCAACAAGAAACGAGGCAAAGGCAGACGCACCCAGAAGCAGAATGCTAACTGCGGCTGCAGAACCAGACACCCAGGACCAGTATGCCTTTATAACGTCAGATTTGGCTGGCAGTGGCAAAAGGGGTTGAAGGTACCTGTTGATTGTCATGGAGCCATCATGGACTCCAGCACCACCTCACATTTTTGTCCTGATTGATCAAAATTCACCAACTTCATTGATATAGCCCCACAGGATGTCCACACTGCAGACAGTTCCACACTCAGTGCAATTGGTCGTGGAGACTGTGAGCATAGACTTACCTCTGGGTAAAAACATGACAAATGTCACATTGAAGAACGTCCTATATGCCCCTACCATGGCGTTCACACTCATCTCCACAGAATCGCATAGCTGCTGCCAGCCTCGCCAGTACTTTTGAGGGCCACATGTGCAAAATCCTATCCCGAAGGTCCCAAATGCAAGGTCATCACTGAGATTCCCCAAGTGGAAGGGCTCTATAGCATTACCGCTTGCACAAACACCATGCACATGCAGTGAAGGACGAAACTTACTGTCTCCCAACTTCACTGCATCCTCGGCCATATTTCCCAGATGGCTGTGCAACAGTTAGTCAGGAAGGGACTCAGTCGAAGGACTGGAACTCAACCCTACCTCATCACCCGAGTTCTGTGATGCATGCGCGAAGGTGAAGTCAGCCAAACACCCTGTTCCCGGACTGAAGCAAAGAATAGAGCATTCAGCGATGTGGAACTCGTGCATACATGATCTCTGGGGACAGGCCCAGACCACCAGCCTAGGTGTGACCAGCTACCTATGTCAGTTT